CCATCAGTCGCTGCAATGACTGACTCTTACTCTCAGGCGTGACGTCACGACAAACACATAGCGTTTAGTGCGTTGCTATTGACAGACACTTTTAAACGCGTTGTGAGAAACCAATGACGTGTCTGTCTGTCTGTCCCCCCGAACGAGCGCTCAATGCCAGCCAATGTATTGATGCGTTTTGGGGGCCAATAGTGTTGCCATGTTTTGCACGTAATCTATGCTTAGATTTAAAGCTCCACTCGGATTGAGGCGAGCGTTTGGTATGGTTTATGGCTAACATGTGTCGACACAATCGCTGGAGACTCACATGACTTTCAATTTGCAGACACTCTCCGAGGCATTGCATAACTCTCTTACAGCTTAGGGATACCTGTCTTACGTAAGTCTCTCTCTCTCTCTCTCACCTTCTCGTGAGCTATGCATACATTATACACACCATTACCGGCACCGACACCACCACTCCATACCAGACCCCGACATACGCTACACTTTGCCATATGTTTCACGAAATGAGATCAAAAAAAGTTTTGCATTGATTTGGAAAAGCAGTGAAAATGAATGAGTTTTCACAACTTTTTTGCACACATTTATCGCGTATTGTTTTGATTGTGTCTGAGAATCGTGTTATGGTTTGTAATAAAACTAACTTTTTTTTATAAACAAAACTGATTTAAAAGTTTGTTTTCATAAGTTTACATTGAAATTGTATCGTTTTGCCTGTAATTTAACACATTATGTACATTACGTAAATGAATACACAGCTAACAGTTATTTTGTGCTAGCTATTTTTGCAATCCATTTATACAATTAGAAAAAAGTTTGAAACTATAGTAAAAGTTTAGACAATTGTGTATATTTAGTAAAATTAGTTTACAAATAGTTTTGTAATGAGTATTGATTATTGATTAACTTGGTTAGATTGCACACAAATTGTACTAGCATAGTTTTCACAACTTTTTCATCGGAATAAGCAATCAGTTATATACAGAATATTGAATAATTGCGTGAATAATACACTCTTATCAACACATCCTTTAAATATAAGATACGATATTTCCACAGAATCTATGGACACAAACACTGATAACACTGATGCAAACGATTACCACAAATGCTATAACATTTGGTAATATTTAAAAGTCTCGTTAAAATCATAGCAATTCTGGCGATAATAAAAGTAGTGATGTATTGAAACAGTCAGTCAATACATGCACAGCGTTTTGGACGCAATCTCAGTGTCTCTGTGACTGTACTGCAAGTCAAGTGTGTATTGAGTTTTGTATTGAGTTTTGCATTGAAATGAGTGAATGAGTGGAAGACATGCATCGGTTATACATATCTCTCGCGTTATCTCAACAGTGAGTGTGAGTTGTCTCCAGTGTTAGTGTCATATCATATCATCACTGGCTGTGTATTCAGACACCAATTCATCGCTAATCACATCATCACCACAACCACAACACCACTAATGCGAGACATGAAGACAGTGTCATCACCGCCAGAGACCAGCTATTGCTGTCACACCACCAGTGATGACGACTACACGCCTACTATCGCCGCCAACACCACCACCTCTTCAGCCAATCGTCACGTGTCGCGTGATTTTAAAGACAATTATTTGCATACGAAACGAGTGTTTAGTAATTTATGGCAATTAGTGTCCAATTGTGGCGCAAATTATCTCTTATTGATCATCGGTTTAGTCCTCTTGTCATGCGTTCAACCCATTCATTGCGGCCGTAATGACAGCCAATACGCCGGGAACCGTCTCTACGACAGCGCCTTCAGGCCCGGAGATAATGTGAATTACGTGGACAGCAGATCCACTTCGGAGGTACGGCTAACCCGTGATTGTGGGACAAACTCATCGCAACAACTGTTTGCCAAACCAGTTGTTGATTGCGTTTATGTCTTGTCATCACTTTATGTGATGACATCCGCGCAGACATTGATTACTAATAATGTGTTATCTGTTTATATGGTGTCCGACAGAGTGTCGATGAGGAGGACCTGTGGTCGCGGTTGAGTGAACTCAAGTTCTTTCACGCGTTCATTGCGTCCATTTCGGTGATAATCGTGTCTGAATTGGGCGACAAGACCTTCTTCATAGCGGCCATTATGGCGATGAGACACGCGAGGAGTACGGTCTTCATGGCCGCCATGTCTGCCATATTCGTGATGAACACATTAGCCGGTAATCCTAAGAGCTCTCTCTCTCTCTCCCTCTCACTCACTCATGAGTTAATGGTATGTTTTGTGGTGCAGTGCTGCTGGGAATGGCGACTACAGTGATCCCCCGATTCATCACCCATTACGGATCCATCGTATTGTTCGCGTTGTTTGGTCTCAAAATGCTTCACGAAGGTATGGCCACCACCACTACCACCCATATGAGTGCCACTATGTCTTGAGTGTACACTAAACTGTGGTTTTCATTATCACTTCACTTCACAGCTCATCAGATGTCGGCCGACGAGGGGAAGGAGGAGTACGAAGAGGTGCAGAAGTCGCTGAGCAAACGCGAGACCGCGGACCTCGAGTACAATGTCTGTAATCACTGGATCTGATCTGCCATCGCATATCTGTATTGACATAAATGTGTTGTCTTTTTCTCGACGAGCAGATGGTCTCGACGTCGTCCGAAGACCCCGAGACGGGTGTCATTAAGACGATAACCGCCGTCTCGTTGGGCACTCGACTGCGCCGGAAGCTTATGGTCTACGTGTCGCTCGTGTTCATCGAGACGTTTACAATGACTTTTCTGGCCGAATGGGGCGACAGGAGCCAAATCAGTACCATTATATTGGCCGCCCGGGAGGTACGGCAGCTGTGTTTGTGTGTCTAATGAGTGGATAAGTCGCTAAACATATGTGATTTGATTCGTAGGATGTGTTAGGCGTGACAATAGGAGCACTTTGCGGGCACTGTATCTGTACGGGTATTGCGGTACTCGGGGGCCGAATGATAGCGCAAATGATTTCTGTAAAAACAGGTGATTATTATAATGTGTTTTTGTTGTGGTTTATGTGAAATTAATTTTACTTTTTTGTGGTTTACTTTTGCAGTGACACTGATCGGCGGAATAGTGTTTATATTTTTTGCAATATTTGCACTAATGCTGAGTGAATGATAGATATAATTATATTTTTGATGCCATTTATTGTTATTGTTGTTGTTTTTGTGCAATTGTTATTGACATCTCTCTCGCAATAATGTTTCGCAAAAATGTGTTAAATTAATTTGATTACAATTTTAGTCAAATATTATCATCCCATTGGTACACATTATTATTATTTTTTCATAATAAATATCAATACCATTCATGTGAGAAATCAATT